CCGGCCCGACCCAGTGTGGACTCAGCACAGCTGTCCTGCGGTGCCGTCTGTGCTGGGGCCCAGGGTGGGTGTGTGGGCGCGGAGCAGAGCTGCCCAGCAGGGGCCCGCAGGGCCGTGTGCTCAGGGCACGGGCAGCCCCACTGCCCCGGACCACAGCGGGCTCGCAGGTGACGCCCCCGTGTCCAGCCAGCCGCAGCGCCTTGTGGGCAGCTGCGGGGATGCCAGGGCCGTGAGGGCTGGCCTGCACGTGCTGAGGGCCGGGCGTCTCTGCGGGGCCCAGCGGCGGGCAGCAGGACATCTCCCGGTGCCAACTGGCCGGCGCGTCCCAGCCCCCAGTCTCCGGCGAGGCGTGGACGGCTCACACTGGCCAGGGCCAGCCCTGCAGGGGTGCTGGCGGCCGAGTCCTGGCTCAGAGCTTGTCCTGCAGGGGGCGCCGGGCAGGGGGCCCGTCTGTCTGTGGGAACCCCGGGGTCGGGTCCCCACTGCTGGCGCAGGGCCAAGAGCGCCAGGCAGGTGGCCGGGGGCAGGCTGGACAAGGAGCAGCCCGGCCAGGCGCCAGGGGCCAGGGTCACGGGGCCGCCAGGGCTGCGGACAGTCCTTGGCACCGGTGCTCTGTCCCCAGGCGCGCCCGCCGGACCCAGCGGCCCCCCCACCATCTCCCCGGCCAGGCTCTCGGTGCCCGAGGGCGGCAACGCCTCCTTCACCTGCAGCCTGTCCCACGACGCCCTTCCGACGCCCCACGACACCCAGCCGGCGCCCCGCGACACCCAGCAAGCGCGGCTCAACTGGTACCGCCTGGGCCCCGGCAACCAGAGCAGCAAACTGGCCGCCTTCCCGGAGGACCAGCACCAGGCTGGCCAGGACTGGCGCTTCCGCGTCACGCCGCTGCCCGGCGGCCGGGACTTCCTGCTGACCCTGGTGGGCGCCCGGCCCCACGACAGCGGCACGTACCTCTGTGTGGCCATCTACCTGAACCCCAGGGTGCACTTCTCAGAGAGCCCCCACATCAAGCTCACCGTGACGGGTGAGCGGCGGCCCGCGGCGGGGGCTGGGCTCGTGCCGGGCTCCGTCCCACGCCCCTGAGCTGGACACACCCTCAGACGCCCTTGTTCTGCAGGAGGACACTGCCCAGGGGGGCCCTGGGGCACAGGGGGAGGAGGTGGCAGGACCCCAACTCCCCACCCCCAAGTTCTGGCCCTGAGTCTAGCCTCTGCCTCCAGAGCGAGCCCCCCAGACGCCCACCGAGCGCCCCAGCCCTACGCCCTGGCCTGCCGGCCCGTCGCGGAGCCTGGTGGTCAGCGTGGCCAGCGTGCTGGCGGCCGTCCTGCTGCTGCTG